ACCAGCATCAGCATAATCATCGTCATCGTCATCGTCATCATCATCATCATCAGCAGCAGCAAAATCATCATCATCATCATCATCACCACCACCACGACCATCATCATCATCATCATCATCAGAGTCCTGATCATCATCAGCAGTAGCAGCATCTGCATCAGCATCAGCATCAGAATTACCATCATTTCTTTTGAGGGCCACAGCGTGCCCAGAAGAGGGTCGTCCAAGATCGCCGCGAGAAGCCTCAAAGCGCGGAGCCAACAGAAGCTCAGGCGCTGACCCGCCGGGCCCAGGCTCGCGCGTCGCCTGCGCGCCATCGCCCGCGCGGGAGACCTCGCCGCGATGCTGTTTAACGGTGATGTTGGGAACCGCCATCAGCAGCATCAGCATCAGCATAGTCAGCAGCATCAGTCATCATCAGCATCAGCAGCATCAGCATCAGCAGCATCAGCATCAGTAGCACAGCATCATCACTGACATCATCATCAGCAGCATCATGAGCAGCAGCATCAGCATCAGCATCATCATCCAACATCGACAGCATCAGCATCATCGTCGTCATTGACAGCATCATCAGTATCATCAGCAGCAATATCAGTATGACAATCCTCATCAGCAGCAGCAGCAGCATCAGCATCAGCATCATCACCATCATCACCATCATCATAAGCGTCAGATTCATCACCGAGCTCATCATCAGCATTTCACCAGCAACAGCAGCATCAGCATCAGCATCAGCATAAGCTTCATCATCAGCAGAAGCATCAGCATCAGCATCAGCATCATCAGCGGCATCATCAGCATCATCATCTTCATCGTCATCATCCTCGTCATGGGCATCATCATCATGATCGGCGTCATCATCATCACCATCATCACCACCATCATCAACGTCATCATCATCATCATAATCGTCATCATCTGCAGCATCATCATCCAACTCTTCCTTCTCCTCCTACCTCCTCCCTCCTCCCCCTTCCCCCTAACCATCATCCTCCTCCGATTCCTCCTCCATCCTCCCCTGGGGTATAACGGCTTCCCCAACCCATTGTTTCACTGCATGCTCCTAAATATCCTTGACCATGGCAACTCGCCTGGGTATCGTCTCTGGATGGGCTGATACCAAGTCTTTAGGGATAGGGCCAGGACTCCTACACGCAAGCCTGTCCTGAAAAACAAGTAGTTTGAAGCGCCTTTATTCCGTAGTTCCGGGAACATAAACACGTGCAACAGCTACACGGATGGAGGGCGGCTCATATCCAGACTCTCGCTTGACACGTACTTCGATCGTATGACCCACCGTTTCAAACTTGATTCAAAGCGCACGGGTTGAGGGCGGCTCTTTTTCAAGAAGGGGCTCGCGCTGGACACTCCCTTGGACTGTATGCTCCTACCACGTCGCCGTCCTTAGATCTAGAGGCACGGGTGGCAGCTCGTGTTCAAAACGGAACCCTCGCCTGAATTGCAGCACCAGGGGGCGATCGTCGTTCTCAATGGGGAACTTCCCGCATAAAGGACGTAGTCCAGTACGTGCTGATGAGTGGGGGACTTGGGACGGGTGGGCGTATTGTTGAGTTCCTTCTCCTCCTCAGTCCTCGTTGACCCCTCCTCCTGCTCCTCATCCTCCTCCTTCTTCTCATCCTCCTCTTCCTCCCTCGTTCTCCTCCCTCCTCCTCCCCCTCCATTCCTTCTCCTTATAGATAGCTTCCCCCTGTCGCACCAGTTCTTAGGGCGGGCCGGGCGTTTCGCCGGAGACCTCCCCACCATTTATGACTCGGAAGGTTCAAACTTGACAACATCTTTCCAGATGGAGGGCGGGTGGTCTTCAAAATGTGGCTCTCGCATTAGCGCCGCGCACATTCGTTGTAAACATTTGCAAGAGCTTCACGGATTGAGGGCGAATGGCTTTCAAAATGTGGTTCTCGCCTCAGCGCCGCGCACATTCGTTTTTAAAATTTGCAAGAGCTTCACGGATTGAGGCCGAATGGCTTTCAAAATGTGGCTCTCGCCTCAGCGCCGCGCACATCCGTTTGAAAAAAATTGCAAGATTCTCACGGATTGAGGGCGGATCCTTTTTAAATTGTTCCTCTCGCGTTGGCGCCGCGCACATTCGTTTTCAAAACTTGTAAGAGCTTCACGGATTCCCTTGATCAACGTACCAGAAATTGTGTTTCGGAAGGGTTCAGGCTTATGAGGGTACACAACTTACGTTGATTCGTGGTGTTCAAGTCCCAGGAATGGCGTTCTGGTACGATTCAGGACCGTCAAGACGCAACAGTAAGGTTGATCCGCGGCGTTGGAATCCCGAGAGCAATGTTTTGGCATGCTTCAGGGTCTTCAAACAGTTGTCTTCCAACGAAGCAGTTCCCTCAGTGATAATGAACCGTTGTAGGGGCCTATTAAGAAGGAGCTTGGAGAGAGGATGTTCTCCAACATCGTTGACGCCTCTTCGGTTTACACTGGTCCTCCTCCTGCTCCTCCTCCTCATCCTGCTCATTCCTCATCCTCCTCCCTGATCCTCCAGCTTCTCCTCCTCCTCCTCCTCCTTTTCTCCTCCTCCTCCTCCTCCTTTGTACTCCTCCCTCCACGCGTTGCCGCCCTTCTGCTCCTCTTCCTCCTCCTCCTCCTCCTGATTCCTGATCCCTGGTGGCTGGAAAGCCTTCCCTCCTCCTCCTCCTCCTCCTCCTCCTCCTCCTTTGTACTCCTCCCTCCACGCGTCGCCGCCCTCCTCCTCCTGCTCCACCTGCTCCTCCTCCTCCTCTTCCTCCTACTCGTCTCCTCCTCCTCGTATGATGACTCGTATTCTCCGTAGTTTGATTTGTCGTTTTCGTCGTAGTATGCTTATTGATAGCCCGTACTCTTCTTCATATTACTACTACGATTAAGGTCAACAGTAATATCAATGAAATCAATATGCTCAGCCCTTGTCTTCTGAATAGTAGCAGTATCGCTCGTAACAATGCGTCTTAGTCGCACTACGGGTATGATCCTTAATAGTATGCTTATTCGCCTTTTCTATATGAGTATACGCATTATTAGTAGTCGCGTTTACCGTCTCATCCTCCTCCTGCTCATCCTCATGCTCCTGTTCCACATCATCATCATCATCATCATCATCATCATCATCATCAGCAGCATCATCATCATCAGCATCGTCAGCATCATCATCATCATCATCATCATCATCAGCATCATCATCATCAGCAGCATCATCGTCATCATCATCACAATCACCATCACCATCACCATCACCATCACCATCATCATCATCATCATCATCATCATCACCATCATCATCATCAGCAGCATCAGCATCATCGTCATCGCCATCGTCATCAGCAGCAGTATTAGCATCAGCAGCATTACCATCAGCATCATCATCATCGCCATCCTTATCGTCATCACCAGCACCATCATCATCAGCATCATCATCAGCATCGTCATCAGCATCACCATCATCATCAGCAGCATCATCAGCATCCTCATTATCAACATCATCATCGTCCTCATGGTAATGATCATCATCATCAGGATAAGCATCATCTTCATCATCTTCATCATCAGCATCAGCGTCGGTATCATCAGCAGTATCATCATCAGCAGCATCAGCAGAAGCAGCATCGTGATCATCATCAGCATCGTCATCATCATCATCAGCAGCATCGCCATTATCGTCATCAGCATCAGCAGCAACATCATCATGATCATCATCAACATCATCATCAGCAGCATCATCGTCGTCTACGTCGTCGTCGTCGTCATCGTCGTCATCGTCATCGTCGTCGTCATCATCGTGATCATCATCATGATTATCATCATCAACATCAGAATCATCATCTTCATCATCATCCTCATCATCATCTTCATCATCATCCTCATCATCATCATCATCATCATCATCATCATCATCATCATCATCATCATCATCATCATCATCGGCATCATCGTCATCATCGTCATCATCGTCATCAGCAGCAGCATCGCCATCAACATCATCTTCATCCTCATCAGCATCATCATCAACAGCATCATCATCATAATCATCGTCAGTCTCCGCCTTCCTTCCCTCACCCATGCTCCGCTCCTCCACCGCCATTTACATTTTCTCACACATCCCCCTTCCCATCCTTCCTTCCCCTCCCCGCTCCTCGTCTAATCCCGTCACCCTTCTTTTCCTCCTGCCCCTCCTCCCCATTCCTCGTCCCGCTCCTCATCCATGTCATCACCAGCATCATCATCACTGGAATTGTCGTCGTCGCCATGATCATCACCACCGTCATCAGCACCATTATCATCATCAGCAGCATCATCATAATCATCAGCATCATCATCGTAGTACTGCTTCTCACCAGCATCACCACCATCGTGAGCGAGAGAGAAAGAGAGAACAGGCAAGAGGAAGGGACGGAGGGCAGCGAGAGGGAAGGGGGGGCAGGGCAGAGCAGAGGGGGGCAGGGGGCGGGTGTGCGAAGGGCAAGCGAGGGAGGAGGGAGCAAGGACCTTGGCGTGGGCGTGCACCTCCGAAGCATTCTTCAGGGCGACTCCGCTCTACGGCGCACGGCGCGCGGGAGTCCGCCGGAGCAGCTGACAGAGGTCAGAGGGACGCGCACGGCTGCTCCCCTGGGCTTGGGGACGGGCGCGGGCCGTCCAAACTGCACCGACCCTGGGCTTGCCCATCGGGGGCGGCCAGGAGGGGGGCGCCCAAGAGGGGGGGGGGTGCAAATCATGGCCGGCGGCACGTGCGCGGCCCAAGGGGGGGCCAGGGACGTAGTGAAGTAAGAAGAGGCGCCGTGAAGCCTGGGGAGATCTCAGGGCCCCCGCCGTTCTATCCATCCACCCCTCTCTAGTCACCACCCCCCTCTTTGCTGCCCCCGAGCCAAGCGTGGTCCACGAGCACGGCCGGGAGTTCCCCAGGGCCACAAACACACACACACACACACACACACACACACACACACACACGGGGGGGGGGCCAGAAAAGCTCTCGAGCGCACCGCCACCGGGACTAGATCGGGCATGTCCCCCTGCAGGCGGATTCTGGAGGAATAAATTAAGAAAAGCCAACACCAGGAGCAGAGGGAGAAGGAACCGCACAAGCATCAGAGAGTCTCGGAGGCCCGCGCGGGCCTCCGACATGGGTGGCGACGTCCGAACCCACCCCCGCCAACCATCCCGAATCGATGGAGGGCGGTGGCAGGGTTCGGATTCTGCCACGTGCGCGGCGAATTCCGAAGCCTATCCCCGCCGCCGATCCAGTTGCCTGAATCGTTGATCGGCGAGCAGCGGAAGAAACGCTTTCACAAACTCGAACTTTCGACGGCCCGAGCGGAGGTCTCGAATCTGCGCTAGCCCTGGCGCGCGGAGCGCGCCAGGGGAGGCGCCTGAGGCGCCGCCAGGGGGGGGGGGCCAGCGCAGGTCCAAGAATTCCGGAAGGACCGTCGAACGTTTATGATTATCTAGATTCTTCTTCCTCGAGCGAGGCCTGCCATCGCTGGGACGTCCACTCCCCGTGCATGTGTTCGGCGTCGCGCGTGTTTTTTTGTTGTTCGCAAGATGATCCAGGATGCTCCTCCATGGTCCTTGCCGAAGAAAAATGCACACGTCCGAGCCCGAGCGATGCCAAGGAGGGTAGGGTTCGGATTCTAGAGGGACAAACACGAGCATAACCTTTCGGCGCTCCGCGCGGATCTCTTGGATCTGCGCTGAAACCCCTCCCTCTGGCGCGCGGAACGCGCCAGGGGCCCAGCGCGGATCTCAGAAATCCGCCCGGAGCGCAAAAAGCTTATGCTTAGGTCGGGCATGTCCTCCTACAGGCGGATCTTGGAAGAAAAATTAGAAATTGTCAAAAAGTGCTCAACAAGATAAATCTAAAAAGAATGGAGAATTGTTCGTCCCCAGACTGTCTATGGTTTCCTACCTTTGAATGCTCCTCCTGTAGAGGAGGGACAGGCCCGACTGAGGTTTATGTTTATGCCGCTCGTGTTCCTCCCCGAGATGTCGGACTTCGCCCGCTCGTGTCGTCGCCTTCTTCCTCGGGAGGGCGGCGGGAAGTCGCGCGGCCACGCCCACGGCTGCCGGAGGCCCGCCCCCGGAAGGGGTGGGCGGACGTGGCCTCGTCTCCGCCCTCGCCTTATGCTGCTCCCATCCTGCTCCAGATTTCGTGATAAAAGGGAGGGGGTCTGGACCCTCCAAGACAAGCCCTTGCAGACCTCCCCCGTGGGAGAGCCCTCCAAAATATCGTCCCCGGACCCCCAGGCCCTCCAAGACGGCCTGGAAGAGAGCCCCCTCGAAATGAGAACCCCTCCCTTTATTACGAAATCTGGAGTACTCAAGGACCACATCCCAGAAACAAGTTCGAGCACCCGGAAAAGTGCCGAAAGAGTGTCGCAATAGTGTCGAAACAGTGCGGGACGCGTGTCTCCCAGGGGCCCGGCGCGTGAAAACCCTCGAGTTTTGGGGTACTTTTCTGGCGCTCGAAAGTCTTCCTGGGGATCAAAGCTAAAGTAGGTTGGAACATCATAACCCTCGGGGGCGGGCGGGCTCGGGGCGGGGCTGTGCTGAGCGCCTCCGCCTTGCATCGCTCGGACGCGCGGGGGGCATTTCACAACACCTCCCGAAGCGAAACAAAAAACAAACAGCAGAAATACACGCGCGGGGGGGCATGCAACAGCATCTCCCGAAAGACAACAACAAATAACAACAATCGGGGATGGACAGAACCCCCTTTAGCAAAACGTGGTTTAGTGAAAACGACCTCGGGCCCAAATCTGGCGGGCGAAAGCCTGGAAAATGACGGCCACGGCGCCCTCTCGAGAACCGAAAACGGACAATTCACTAATCGACGTGTCAGGGTGGGGGTTCTGTCCACCCCCGAAACAATACACGCGCGCGGGCATTTAACAACAACATCTCGCAACATAGTCTCCCCCCTCGGGGGCGGGCGGGCGGGCTCGGGGCGGGCCCCCGTCTCCGCCCTCGGGGGTCGGGCGTGCCCGCCCCCGGGGCCGGGTCGGCCGGCCGGGGGGCAGAACCTCCACGACATCCCGGGATACTTCTCCGCACGCGTCCCGGAATGCTCCTCCTCCTCCTCCATGTCTCCTCCTCCTCCTCCTCCTCCGCCTCCTCCTCTCCTCCTCCTCCTCCTCCTCCTCCTCCGCCTCCTCCTCCTCCCTCCTCCTCCTCCCTCCTCCTCCTCCTCCTCCTCCTCCTCCTCCTCCTCCTCCTCCTCCTCCTCCTCCTCCGCCTCCTCCTCCTCCTCCTCCTCCTCCTCCTCCTCCTCCCACAGGCGGGTTCTGGAAGAAAATAAGCGGAACAGAAACTCCAACAAAATCAGAAGAGCACGAAACATCGTCACCAGACGACTTGTCCCGTGGAGGGACACGCCCGACGGAACTCCAGCCTCGGATCACTGCCCCACGGGCCAGGTCTTCCTGGCCCCCCCCCGTGCCGCAACCGACCTCCCCGCAGGCCGGGTTCGAGGGCCAAGGCTGGCGAGGAGCAGGCCATACCGGCCTCTCTTGAACATCGCGCAACCAATTCCCATCCCAACGGGCATGGCATGGGCCCCACTAGCCGATTGCCCCCCCCCCCCCCTAGCTGGGGGTTGGGCTGTTTCCTTCGGACTTCGAGGGGCATGTCCCCAGCTGGGGGGGGAGATGGGGCTGGGGATGGGGATTGGTTAAACGATATTTTCTCTGTTCGAGCCGCCGGACGCCCGGGTTTCTGGCCTCCGGATATAAAAGTCCAACAAGTTGATTGTCCTCTAAGGAAGACAGACAGAAGGCGCGGACCGCGCCGCCCGGAGCCTGTGGCCCAAGGCGCGCCAGGTCCGGAGCCACAGTCGCTCTTTCGGGAGGAGGAGGAGGAGGAGGAGGAGGAGGAGGAGGAGGAGGACCAGGAGGACCAGGAGGGGGAGGAAGGAGAGGGGGAGGAGGGAGAGAGGGAGGAGGGAGAGGGGGAGGAGGGCAAGCTAGGTGCGCTCGCGTCATATCTGACGTCCTACCCCTCCCTCCGATCCCTTACCATGGCGCTGATTTTCTCTATCCGCGGACGCGTGTCGTAGCGGACCTGTGGCTCCGCGCGCGCGTGCGCAGTGGGTGGTGGTGCACGTGCGTGCGTGCGTGCGTGTGTGCGTGGTTGTCGTGGTGGTGGTGGTGGTGGTGGTGGTGGTGGTGGTGGTGGTGGTGATGGTGGTGGTGGTGGTGGTGGGTGGTGGTGGTGGTGTGGTGGTGGTGGTGGTTGTGGTGGTGGTGGTGGTGGTGTGTGGTGGTGGTGTGGTGTGTGGTGTGGGTGGTGGTGGTGGTGGTTGGTTGGTGGTGGTGGGTGGTGGTGGTGGTGCTGGTGGCTGGTGGGTGCTGGTGCTGGTGGGTGGTGGTGTGGTGGTGGTTGTGGTGGTGGTGGTGGTGGTGGTGGTGGTGGTGGTGTGGTGGTGGTGGTGGCGGTGCGGCGCGGTGGTGGCGGGCGGATGGGCGCGCGAGAAAAAGGCCCGCGCTGGGGCGAGAACGCCATCCTGAACGACGGAGGCCAAACACCGATCCGAAAATGAGGCCCACGCTGCAGCGGGAGCACGATTCGGAACGATTCGGGAGCAGAAATGAGGCCGGCGCCTCAACGAGAGCAGCATTTTGGGAAAAAATGACGCCGGCGCCTCAGCGAGAGTCGTTTCCCGGGATTTCCCGGGCATCCTGTGTGTAAAAAAACAGTACGCGGAGGGTGCGCGGCCATCACCCGGACGCCATCAGGGGAAGAGGGAGAGTATTTTCAGATTGAGTAATTGTGAGGGGGAGGAGGGAGAGAGGGGGAGGAGGAGCCTTGGCCGCGCCCCTCCCCCGGGAGCAATCACCGTCCTGCTCACCCGCCACCTGCGCCTCGTCCTGCCGCTGCTCCTCCCCTCCGCCCCCTGACCGCCATCGCTCCACCCCCGCACACACCACATCCGACTTCTCCTCCCCCCTCCTCCCCGCTGCTCGCCCTCCTCCCCCCCCAATTCCTCCCCCCCCCTTCCTCCCCCCCCCTCCCCCCCACCCTCTCGGTCCCTCCAACGGAGGGAACGAGGATAGAACAAGTAGAAGAAGAAGAAGAAGATGAAGAAGAAGAAGAAGAAGAAGGAAAGGAAAAGGAGAGGAAGAAGAGGTAGAAGAAGAAGAAGAAGAACATGAAGAAATAGTTGAAGAAAAACAATAAGGAGAAGAACGAAGAGGAGGAGGAGGAGGAGGAGGAGAACACTGATAGTAACGGCATACACATAAACTTTCAGAAGACCGAACGGATCTCTTGGATCGGAGCTGGACCCCCCTCAATGGCGCGCGGAGCGCGCCAGGGGCGGCGCTGGAGACCCGCCACGGGGCCCAGCGCCGATCCAAGAGATCCGCGCGGACCTCAGAAGGTTGATCATTATGCCATCTGCTTCTTCGAGGGGGGCGAGGAGGCGGCGAGCTGGCGACGGAATGGCAGTCGGAGGAGGGCCACTCGAGACACCGGCGGCCGTCTCCCACGGCCCACGTCCGCTCAAGCAAGATTCAGAAGCCAGGCGAAGGCTGGCAAACCCGTGGCTGCTAAACCTGAGCTCCAGGATTTTGTTGCTTCCTTCCGGGAAGCAACCCGTTTACCATTTAGCAGGCTGGGTTTTATTCGGGGAAGGTGTTGCGTTCTTCCAGGTAGACCGTTGTAGCAGCCACGTATTTGCCAGCCCTCGCCAAGCTTCCGAAAGATCGGTCCCAAAGAGGACGAAGAGCGACAGGGCGGGCCGCCATCTCTGAGGTCCGACGGTGCGGCAGCAAAAGCTGCGAAAGTCGCGAAAGATCACGACCCGAGCCCTGGACCCCAACCTTCTCACCCTCCTCCTCCTCCCTCCTCCTCCTCCCCCTCCTCCCCCTCCTCCTCCTCCTCCCCCTCCTCCTCCTCCTCCTCCTCCTCCCCCTCCTCCTCCTCCTCCTCCTCCTCCTCCTCCTCCTCCTCCTCCTCCTCCTCCTCCTCCCCCTCCTCCTCCTCCTCTCCCTCCTCTTCCTCCTCCTCCTCCCCCTCCTCCTCCGATCCGAGCCCTGGACCCCTCCCGGGCTCCATCCCCCGACCCGTCCCTCGACGCGGAGCTCCTCGGCCGTGGCGACAGGAACCCCGCGGGCGGACCGAGGAGGACGGCAGGCGCCGGGGCGGGCTGCCCTCTCTCTCCGAGGAGGAAAAAGAGCTGTGCACATACACCGATTCTGGCCAGGATCGGTGCATATGCCCTCCTGCCGTGGCCAGGGAAGCATCTGCACCGATCCTGGGTCAAGGATGGGCTTGCCAGGATCGGTGCATGTGCATAGCTCTCTTCGCCCGATCTCTCTGAGAGAGGGGCTCGGGCCAGAAGCGGTGCTCTTCGTGTTCGTCTCGTTCTCGTGTCTCGTCTTTTCGTCCTGTTCTCGTTCTGCCTTCGTCCTGTCTTCGTTCTCGCTGGGAGAGGGGCTCGGGCTATCAGCGGTGCTCTTCGTCTTCGCCTTATTTTCGTGTGTCGTCTCCGTTTTGTCCTCTGTGCTCCTCCGTTCTGCCTTCCTTCTGCCCTCGCTGCGACACGAAGCTACACGGAGGGCGGCCCCCGAAATCGCCACAGAGCACCGTTTGGCTCGAGCCCCGCTCCGGGATCCGCCGGTGCGGCAACCCAAAACTGCAGGCGTCGCGAAAAATCACGACCCGAGCCCTCGATAGGGGGCCGCATGAGAACCCTACCCCTCCCCCCCACGATTTCCGAGGGGGAGGCTGGGGTTCACTTCGCGCGGGAGCTCCCGAACGGAGTGAACCCCACCCTCCCCCTCGGAAATCGTGGGGGGGAGGGGGGTAGGGCTCGCATGCGGCCCCCTACTCGGCCCGTCGTTCTGCTGCTTTCTTCGAGCTGCGCCGCTCTGTGATGGCCACTGACTACCCACCAGACCACCCCAACCCAACCCGAAGACCCGAATTTGACCCGAATTTCGGGTTGGGGGGGGTACGGATACCATGTGTTTTTTCAACGTTCCCCGACCCCCCCCCACTGGAAATCTAGGATAAATTTGGGCCTTCGGGTTGGGTTGGGGTGGTTTGGTGGGTGGTGAGCCACGGGGTCCGAGCCCGGGCGAAGACCGCACGGAGCGCAGACGCCGCCGCGCCCGAACCTCGGGGACCGTCTCTCGCCTGGCCCTCCTCCGAGGCGAGCGGGGGGCGCGCTCTGATGGGCGCGTTTTCCACCACCACCACCAGAAGTTGGAGGGGGGTGGTCCTCCTCCTCCTCCTCCTCCTCCTCCTCCTCCTCCTCCTCCTCCTCCTCCTCCTCCTCCTCCTCCTCCTCCTCCTCCTCCCTCCAACTTATGGTGGTGGTGGTGGAAAACAGGCTCATCACGCTCTACACGAAGCCGTACATCTTCTGCTCGATGGCGAGCTCGACGACCTGGGCCTCGTGGGCCACCACGGCGCAGGGGCAGCACGCCGCGAAGCAGCAGTCCTGCCGCCGGGGGCCCCTCACAAAGCTGGCGAGACGGAGCGGACCGCCGAGCGACGACGACGACGACGACGACGACGACGAGGACGACGACGAGGACGACGAGGACGACGACGACAATGACCGGACGACGAGGACGACGACGACGATGACCACAAGAAGTAGAGAACTCCGCCTCGTGCAGCAGCCCCCGCGGGGACGCGTACGCCAGGCGAGACAGCGGCGCCCAGGGGGGGGGTCTCCACCAGCAAGGGCCTGAGCTGAATAACGTGATGCGATCGGATCCGCTCGGGAACTAATCGGGTCGCTGGCGAGTCGCCCTCGACCAGATCTAAAAAGGATGTCCTAGCCCGGCTCCTGTCAGGGGTCTTCTGACCCGGGTCAATCCAGACCCGGGTCAGCCAGGCCTTGCAGGATCCTGCATGATCCTGCACCCAAACCCGGGTCAATGCCGCCAAGGACCCTGCAAGATCCTGCAGGATCCTGCACCCACGCCAGGGTCAATGCGACCCTGGCCCTGCAGGATCCTGTGACCCCCGTCTCTTGAACCCCTCCTCCTCCCCCCTCCCCCTCCTCCTCCTCCTCCCCCTCCTCCTCCTCCCCCTCCTCGTCGTCCTCCTCCTCCCCCTCCTCCTCCCCCTCCTCCCCCTCCCCCTCCTCCCCCTCCTCCTCCTCCTCCTGGCCTTGGCCGCTGCCGGCGGGTCGGAGCGCATCGGGAGCGCGGCCCCCGCGCCGGCCGAGGCGGACCGCACCGAGTCGGAGCGTCGGCGGGCCCCCCGCAGGAGGGGGCGGCGGCGAGGGGGGGCGGCCGTGCGGCAAGACGAGGGCCGAGGGGGAGAAGTCGAAGGGGCCCGGGGGCGCAGACAGAAGCAGGCACAGACAGCAGGCTTCCCCACATGCTTGTCCATGTTTCTGGGTGCTGTCTTCCCCCCCCCCGCTTCCCATGTTTCCCTGCACTTTCCGGGGGATCGACGATGAATTGTGTCTGTGTGTGTGTTTTGTCTCCTCCTGACGGCGGGGGGGGCGGCGGCGGCGGCGGCGGCGGCGGCGGCGGCGGCAGCGGGTGCGGGTGCGGCGGCGGCGGCGGCGGCAGCGGCCGTGGCGGCGGAGATGTGGCAGCGGGGGCGGCGGCGGCGCGGCGGCGGTGGGGTTTTGCCTTCCCCCCCACTTCCCGTATTTTCCTGCATTTTCTGTGGAATCGACGATGAATTGTGTCTGTGTGTGTTTTGTCCCCTCCTGACAAGTGTCGGCGACGCAGAACAAGAACACAACTGTTGGAGGGAGTGTAGGAGAATAGGTAGGATAAGTGAGGGATGATGTGAGGAGGAGGGTAAGTGTAGGAGGATGAGAAAAAAGCTGAAGGAACATGAAGCTGTATCAGCATAAGGGTGTAGGC